AAACCTAATTGTTTCATCCCATCTTTCATACAAATAGTAACATCTTACATAATAAACAGGCGTGGAAGAGTTGATCTAGAAACCTAATTGTTTCATCCCATCTTTCATACAAATAGTAACATCTTACATAATAAACAGGCGTGGAAGAGTTGATCTAGAAACCTAATTGTTTCATCCCATCTTTCATACAAATAGTAACATCTTACATAATAAACAGGCGTGGAAGAGTTGATCTAGAAACCTAATTGTTTCATCCCATCTTTCATACAAATAGTAACATCTTACATAATAAACAGGCGTGGAAGAGTTGATCTAGAAACCTAATTGTTTCATCCCATCTTTCATATGACGGAAAACAACTCACATTTTGACAACTTCTTTAATTATAATAGATAATTAGTATCATTACAATACCAAGTCATTTACATTAATGATCCATTGTTACAATAGAAACGCGTTCAGTTTTTTGATTTCCGTAATTTTTCATTGTTATAGGATAAAGATAACAAGAAAGCTAGTTACAAAGGTTATTTGTATCTTTAATAATCACGATATGCTTTAGTATCAAAATATCAATAGAGGAAGGTTTTTTTTTTTCCCCTGAAAATCTAGTATGTGTCATTACAATTATTTCTTACTGTATTTGTGTATAATAATTATCCGTTGCTAGATTATGGGCAACACAAACGACCATATTTTTATCGTTATAAATTAACAAAGAGGACATGGTAAGGTTTAACTCTTGTGAATTCTGGGTATAAAAAATGGCGGTCGCTTATTTACGTTTTATATAAAATTCCATCAGATTTTTTAATATTCAAACAGTTTTCATTCTAAACTAAAATTCAAAAATCTAAGATTCGTAAATTAAGATAGTAAAAATGTAATTTCTTAAATACGTGATTCTTAATCAGTCTATTTTTCATAAAATCTTCTTATGATATTTTCGTCAAAGGAGTTTGTTCCACGTTACTTTGCTTACTGATGGATGAGCGCAATATTGTAATAGTCGTTCGTGTGTCATCCATTATATGATAATAAGTGCCTGTCCAATAACAGGAGATGAAAATTGTGTAGTACAGCAAGGTGTGCGAAGCATCAAACGTAAGTTGTTTTTCTTCTAACTACACTTTTGAAACGACTCTTTAAAAATAGAGCGACTTTGCAATAAACAAATTTACAGGTGTAAGAGAAATGAAGTTGTGGAATTAACTGGGGCTTTTTTAGTATCTTTAGGTAGAGTAAAATGTTAATTCGTTTTGTCCTCAGGAGTGTGTGAATCGATGATTTGAAAACAAGACTGAGAAAAGACAATTCTGATGGTTTGCTCGTGTGTGAAAGGCCTTGAATATTTGTAATATACTACAAAAGAAAAGGTGTATCTTTATTTTAGACCGTTTATAATTATCTTCCTGCTCAGTTGTATGAAATTTCTAACTTGTATAGATTAAAACAAAGTCTCTGTTATAATATGAGTATATATAAATTCCACAGAGAAAAGAGCATTTATTGCTGACCCATGTTTAAAATAATGTATTTAATCTTGATGTAAAAAGCATTTCTTCTATACCTCTGTGGAAAGGCCAAAATAAACATATATAGATGTAGACAAATCCTAAGTAAAAAAAAATCTAAATTCAGATTTGAAAGAAAACTTTAGGACTTTGATTTTAGAAACGTTGATCCCTCAGAAAATTCACATATGTCCATGTGTCTCTTATCTACAAGGCACATATTGAGTATTTTATGTTCATCCGTCACGGAGGAAAATATAAGTGTCACTATGAACATATCAGTGCCAATCGATATGCCTGCTTAATACATATATTTAAAAAAAAAAAATTATTCATAGGGGGTTTATTGGTGAAAACGGGGAGACAGAAAACGGTGTATTTATTTCCTTCTCTCCATCCCCCACCCCCTCTAAAAAAAATGGATATCAACTGGTAGAATCGAAAGTTAACTTGAAGCTCAGCGATAGGAAGAGTCATTGCGCATGGGCTCGAGTTCGGCAATACTCGCACACGCGCGAAACGCTTTAGTGATGCTTCATTCCGAGTGACACCATCCTTCACGTAGGTACTCAATCACTGATACTCCAGAACACAGCTTCGACCCCTGACCCAGTCTTCTTTATGATGATCAATCCTCAAGGAACTCCTCAGAACTGGACAATGAACAAACCTTGGAAAATCTACCCAAGTCAGAGGATGAATGTATCAAAAAGTTCAAGAATTTGAAACCTTCAGCAGAAGGTAAGGAATACAATATTAAAATTGAAACCCTCAACAGAAGGTAAGGAATATAATATTAAAAGTAAAACTCTCAACAAAAGGTAAGGAATACAATATTAAAATTGAAACCCTCAACAGAAGCTAAGGAATACAATATTAAAATTGAAACCCTCAACAGAAGCTAAGGAATATAATATTAAAATTGAAACCCTCAACAGAAGCTAAGGAATACAATATTAAAATTGAAACCCTCAACAGAAGCCAAGGAATATAATATTAAAATTGAAACCCTCAACAGAAGCTAAGGAATACAATATTAAAATTGAAACCCTCAACAGAAGCTAAGGAATACAATATTAAAATCGAATTTATATAACTGAACAAACTCTCGAAAGCTGCTGTCTGCTCTGCTTAAATAACGTTTTTATTAATCAGACAGAACTGTTTTCCACGTGTAGGCTACATTTCTATTTATAATAAACGATTCAGTTTATCAAAACAGACTCGTGCCTTTTCGTAGGTGATTATTATTATTTTTTTGTATGATTTATAAGACTCGGTTCAATTATTTAAAAACCGTTTTACAGCTACTCAAATGTAGTATTTCACAATAAAACTTTTATAATTTATTTTAGGTAACAACAGCTTGTTCAAAGATATTATATAGCAAATAATCAAACACTTCTATTTTTTTAATGAATTTCGTACAAAATATAACTAAGATGTGAACAGTAAAGGTAAAAAAACGAGATTTAAAGTGCCTATAATTAAATCAAACCATGTTACGAGATAATAAAAACCTGCATGTTAATTTGAAAGTCATGACACTTGACATGTGGTGTTCAAACTCTCTACGTTACGACACTGGTAATAAAATACTCAGATAATTTCTACTTTAGTATTTGTGTTGTGGTTGTTCATAAAGACTTTATTATCTACCTACAACACTTGTGTTGTAATTGTTCATATATTTTGAGCTTTTTCTACTTTGAACACTCGTGTTATAATGCAAAAAGTTTTAATTATCTATACACGAAGTTTCTAGTATAATGCTCACAAATGTTTAATTATTTACGTACTACTATTGTGTTGTAATATCCATAAAGACTTAATTATCTACCTACAACACTTGTGTTGTAATGTTCACAAATATTCAATTATCTACCTACAACACTTGTGTTGTAATGTTCAGAAATATTTAATTATCTACCTACAACACTTGTGTTGTAATGTTCAGAAATATTTAATTATCTACTTGTAATGTTTACAAAGACTTAATTATCTAATTGTAAGGTTACAAAAGTTTAATTATCTACCTACAACGCTTGTGTTGTAAGGTTTACAAAGATTTAACTATCTACCTACAACACTTGTGTTGTAAGGTTTACAAAGATTTAATTATCTACTTGTAATGTTTACAAATATGTAAGTTATCTACTTGTAAGGTTTACAAAGGTTTAATTATTTACCTACAACACTTGTGTTGCAATGTTCACAAATATTTAATTATCTACCTACAACACTTGTGTTGTAGGGTTTATAAATATTTAATTATCTACCTACAACACTTGTGTTGTAATGTTCACAAATATTTAACTATCTACCTACAACACTTGTGTTGTAAAATTTACAAATATTTAATTATCTACCTACAACACTTGTGTTGTAATGTTCAGAAATATTTAATTATCTACCTACAACACTTGTGTTGTAATGTTCACAAATATTTAACTATCTACTTACAACACTTGTGTTGTAAGGTTTACAAATATTTAATTATCTACCTACAACACTTGTGTTGTAAGGTTTACAAAGATTTAATTATCTACCTACAACACTTGTGTTGTAATGTTCACAAATATTTAATCATCTACCTACAACACTTGTGTTGTAAGGTTTACAAATATTTAATTATCTACCTACAACACTTGTGTTGTAAGGTTTACAAATATTTAATTATCTACCTACAACACTTGTGTTGTAAGGTTTACAAATATTTAATTATCTACCTACAACACTTGTGTTGTAAGGTTTACAAATATTTAATTATCTACTTGTAATGTTTACAAATATGTAAATTATCTACTTGTAAGGTTTACAAAGGTTTAATTATCTACCTACAACGCTTGTGTTGTACGGTTTACAAAAAATTAATTAACTACCTACTCGCAATCTGAGGGTCGCGGGTTCGAATCCCGTCCCACCAAACATGCTTGCCGTTTCAGACGTGGGGTGCATTATAATGTGACAGTCAGTCCCACTATTCGTTGGTAAAAGAGTAGTCCAAGAATTGTCAGTGGGTGGTGTTGGCTAGGTGCCTTACCCCCGGTCTATCACTGCTAAATTAGGGACGACTAGCGCATGTAGATTTGCGCGAAATCCCAAACCCTACATATAACAGTTGTGTTTTAATGTTCCTAGTATTTTACTGTTTTCCTATATAACCTCCACAGACCTTCCACTATGTATCTGAAACCTTTGTCTTGTAACGTTCATCTGTAAAATTTTAGCTGTCTATTTAGAATTTTTATAATACTTCGCTAACAACAAAATTCTTATATTAGAACATTAGATGTTTGACATTGCTTACAGACGTGTATTTCTGATAATTGAACGTTAGATGTTTGACATTGTTTACAGGCGAGTATTTCTGATATTAGAACACTAGATGTTGGACATTGTTTACAGGCGTGTATTTCTGATATTTGAACGTTAGATGTTTGACAATGTTTACAGACGTGTATTTCTGATATTAAAATATTAGACGTTTGACATTGTTTACAGACGTGTATTTCTGATATTAAAAATTAAATGATTGACATTGTTTACAGGCGTATATTTCTGATATTGCCCCCCCCCCCATTGGCACAGCGGTTTGTCTGCGGACTTACAACGCTAGAAACCAGGTTTCGATACCCGTGGTGGGCAGAGCACAGATAGCCCATTGTGTAGCTTTGTGCTTAACTTCAAACAAACAAACTTTCTGATATTACAACATTAGACGTTTGACATTGTTTACAGACGTGTATTTTTGATATTAAAACATTAGACGTTTGACATTGTTTACGTCGTATATATTTATAAGATACAAAAGAAAAGATACACTTTCTTCTAATACAACTTCTAACAATAGGTTGGCAAACAACGATTTATAAGCATAAGGAAAAGTTTTATTGATGGTTGAACAAACTACATGTTTCGACAGAACATTGATCTGTCTTCTTCGGTTCATGAGTTCATCTGTAAACATGTTGTATGTTCCACCATCAATAAAACTTTTTCATTATGCTTACAAATCGTTGTTTGTCTACCTATTATTATATTACCATAATGTGCTCCCTTACTCAAGTGATACGTCTTATAAGTATAAGCCTAACTGGAAGAGAATAGTTCCATTTTTATACTAAGAATTGTCTACAGTGGAGAGATGTTAGTGATTAATGGAAAATTAAAAATTAAATTAAAAACTCGCTAAATATAAAACTTTCATGTCTGCCTAAATTAGAATGTTGTATCTTATTACGGAAACTACCTGAACTGATAAAAATACAGATGTTTATTTAAAGATATCCGTGTTGCTTTGCACTAATTTTAATAAGATATCATAATAAGATCGCTTGTTTCTTAAGCACATAAAATTCAGGTTCATTAGTATACTAAACTGACGAATTAACTCAAAGATGAATTTTATCAATATAAATAAGTTACAACTCAAGAACAGTAGAGAAGACTAATCAGGATTAAGGGAGTAACTTTGCTAATGAAAAAATAACGTCGAATGGAACAAAACATCTAATGTTTATTGTTGGAATCACCGTTGTGAATTTTTGCAATGACAAAGAACGTTTTATAAAATTAACGCCCCGAAACAAACAATTTTTACTGGTATATTTTCAAAATTACTTTCTGAGGCTCATGAATTTTCAATGATCAGTATCACTTTTTTAACAGTCTTTACTAGTATGTTTTCAAAATTACTTTCTGAGGCTAATGAATTTTCAAAGATCAGTATCATTTTCTAACAATCTTTACTGGTATATTTTCAAAATTACTTTCTAAGGCTCATGAATTTTCAAAGATCAGTATCACTTTTTAACAGTCTTTACTAGTATGTTTTCAAAATTACTTTCTGAGGCTCATGAATTTTCAAAGATCAGTATCACTTTTTAACAGTCTTTACTAGTATGTTTTCAAAATTACTTTCTGAGGCTCATGAATTTTCAAAGATCAGTATCACTTTCTAACAGTCTTTACTAGTATGTTTTCAAACTTACTTTCTGAGGCTCATGAATTTTCAAAGATCATTATCACTTTCTAACAGTCTTTACTAGTATATTTTCAAAATTACTTTCTGAGGCTCATGAATTTTCAAAGATTAGTAACACTTTCTAATTTTTTTTCTATATCATCAGCACAATTAATGGGGAAGAGAATAATTTGAAATGCAGGATTGGAGGGGTATAGTATACGTTATTCGTACTCCTGACGTTGTAACTTTTATTTAATAACGTTTCGATACTAAATTCAAGAGAATTTGGAACTCAAATTATAAGGTTTGTTCTTGAGATAAAACTTTGAAATTTTGTAATTATTTTTCTAAATATTATCCTAGCATACGTGAGTAAAATGTTAAGCAAAATTAGTGGATGACAGTTATGCTTCTTCGGTGAGTTCAGCCGGTAGTGGGTTAATAATAACAAAAGCATCCGACGTTGAACATTCTAACAGTACTGTTGTTGTTTAAAATACATTTCAACCAAGTAACGTTCATCTTTAACAGGTTCTAGGATAGCTGGGCTGAGTTTGAGAAGATGAGCAATATGCTTCTATGACAACAAATGTTTCTCAGATAAAGCGGCCGTGATAGAGATCTCCTTCTGTCCTTTTATGGAGGTCGATAATAACGCTGTTTTTCCTGTTAAAGAAATGATCGTGTTTAAATCTTGGTATCCGACATCTTATGTATAGGTGTTTTATTGGAAATTGGTTTCCGGACTTCATTCATAGGGAACTCTTATTTT